CGGGGGCAACACTGAGGGTTGCGATCCGTTGCCGGACACGGACAAAAGACAAAAAAAAAAAAAAAAAGGGTTCAGATTTTAGATATAACTTGAAGATAGAGCTGATGTGATTGGTTCCATGTGGAATGTGAGACAGACGTCAAAAAAAGCTGGGAGGGGAAAGGCCCCGAGAGAATGCAATCTCCAGCAGCGTCCTGCAGATGGCGCCCGTGGCACGTTCCCTCCGGTGTGAGCCTTAGACCTGTGAGTTGTCCCGCACTGGGAAGTCATCCAGGAAAGGCTGCCCCGGGGGAGGGAACATAAACTCCCAGACACTTCTGATTCTCTGGGTGTGAAGGCAGAGGCGCCTTGGCGACGTGTCCAGAGCCCAGACACTCCGCTAAGCCTTTTACATTCATTCAGCTGTTCTGGGTGCGTCTACTGAGTGCTTGCATGTACTAGGCACTCTGCCTCGCCCTGGGGTAGGGACAGTCTGCTGAAGAAGAATCGCGAGTGTAGGCTGTTTGCTGCAAAAGCACACAGGGCCCAGGCAAGGGTGCAAAGAAACAATAGAAGGATCTGAAGGGAGCCAGGCAGGGCAGGGTAGGTTTCTTTTGGACTGGCTGAATATACCACCTCCAAGGGATGCTGTCAAACAGATGGCTGATGTGTGTGTCTGGACCTCAGGGGAGATTCCAGGCTGGAGACATGCCATCAGGATTGTTCAGCTTGTCGATGGTATTTCAAGTCACAGAACTGCCTGGGTTCAACTGGGGAGAGAGTGTAGTGAGAGATGAGATCTGACCCCTAGGGAGAGAAGAGGTAGGAACAACAGAGGACAGAAGCAGTGAAGAGCCAGAGAGTGGCATCCTGGAACTCAGCGGAAGGCAGAGAATGTGAGTACAAATGCTCATGACTCCAGTGGCAGGAAAATATGTACGGGAGCCTCCAATAGAAGGAAATAAGAAGGAAGGCCATCACTGGCTGGCCGGTCAGCTCAGTTGGTTAGAGCACGATGTTATAACCCAAGGTCAAGTGTTTGTATTGCTGTACCAGCCAACTGCTAAAAAAAAAAAAAAAAAAAAAAAAGCATGGGCTGAAAACCCATAGTCAGCTCGGTCCATTTCAGTTGATTACAAGCTGTGGACGGGTGACTTAATGTCTCCAGAACTCAGTTTCTTTATCTATAAAAAGTGGATATTATATAGGTGATGTAGGACAGCACTGAAGGGACACTCCCATGGCTTAGGGAGAAATGTGTCCAATGACTGCAAAGTGCAAATAAGGAAACTTGGGCTGTGCCAGCTCCTTGGGGACCGAGTGACAATTCCAAATGCCAAATATCTTGGGAGTATCTCTTCCACTTCTAGGGAGCTACCCCATGAATGGACTCACACAAATGTGAGGGTGTTTATTGTAGCTTTCGTGAAATTGCAGAAGACTAGAAGCAACCTAGGTGCCCATCTGGAGGGGATTCTTTATGTGATAAGATTATGGCCCATGCAGATAATGAAACGCTATGCAGTAGCTCTCCTCCTCTCTATCATTTCCCTGCATTTTCCTCATACACTTATTATTACACAGAAGTTTTTATTTTTTTGGCAGCTGCCCAGTGCGGGGATCCGAACACTTGACTTTGGTGTTATGAGCACCAAGAATTCTATTCATGACTTACTTACTATATTGTAAGGTCCTTGAGGATGCTGCCATGTTCACAGGCAGATTCCAGCACTTAGCAAAGTGTGTAGCACACACTCAGTGCCCAATAAATCATTATTGCAAGAATGAGTAAATAAAATTATAAGGAAGTTTAGGGGTGCTAGAGCAACCTAGAATGCAGCTTCCAGAGGAAAATGGGTGGAAAGATTTGGAAGCAAGACAGATCACAGTTCTCTTAGTGTGGACAGCAGAATGTAAAGTGTGGCGGAAGGGGAGGCTGGGGGTGTGGCAAAGGGGATGGCCTTGAAGGAGGGCACCAGCATCGGGACCTCACCTTGGAGGGTGTGAGTGGGGGGAAGGAGAGTACAAGGGTGGGATCCCTCTGGCTAGGTTCCCTGCATCTGGATGGGAGTATGGTCAAACTGGCGAAGAGACCCCAGTCTGGAGGTGAGGAAGAAGCCCAGGGGAGAGAGGATGATGGCCTGAACTGGGATAATGACCATGGGGCCCTCTCTCAATTCCAGACTTGGAAAGTGTTCTGCTGTAGCATGACAGGCATCTCAAAGACAGGGGCTGGCCGGCTAGCTCAGTTGGTGAGAGTGCCGTGCTGATAACACCAAAGTCAAGCATTTGAATACTGTATTGGCCAGCCATCAAAACAAACCCAAAA